AATTTCCAAGATAGCTTAAAAAAGTTTTCTATATGAGAAATAAAATACTAAATATATTAATTTAAAATTCCTTAAAGTGCACAAAAGCAGCTTGATGCAGCTAAATAGAACAGATATAATTGTGACAGAGTATAGATAGGTATTTCGAAGCCCCTGATAAATAATCATATTTCTTACAAAAACATTTCAACTGCAATTATAAGTTTCTAGTTGTAATTCATAATACTGCATTTCCGCTAGCATATGATGAAATTTCCTTGGCCGTTTACCTGGCGCCTCGTGGCAACTGAATCGAAAAGCGCAGCAAAGGCAGGTGTAGCTAAGGAAAACTTACTGGGTAAATAGCAGCCGGCAGCTAAACAAAATGACCAAGGTTATGCATATATTAAGGATAAACATAACTTTTACGGAAATTATAATTAAACGTGGGCGCCTCGAATCGAGAGTTGAGCTGAGCTGAGCTGAGCCGAGGCGAGTTGGGGCGAGTCGAGTGGCGTCGCATCGGCTAGAGTTGAGCTGAGTCGCGTGGAGAGTTCAAAAGTTGGCAAAGCGCCGCACGCGGAATAGTTTTCTAATTAACTGTGAACTATGCGCAGCAGAGAAAAGACGCACAGCAATACCAAAAAGAGAAGTGAACCGAGATAGACAGAGAAAGCAAGGCAGAGAGAGACAGAGAGTGTGTGTTAAGGGCGTCCAGTGCTGGAGCTGGCTGTGAGATAAACCGTGAAATCTCATGAATTAACTGTGCCAACTTTTGGCTCCTGGCTGGCGCACGAAACTATTTGAAAAGAAAGACAATTGCAACGTGAGAGGCAGAGAGAGACAGAGAGAGTGAGAGATAGAGAAAGAGAGATGGGAAGCAAGCAGAGTCTGCTGACGGCAACGGCGACAGTTTCTCCACAAATGATTTAGTTGCGGCGGAAAGCGAAACGTCGCCAACAAACAACTCGAGTGCGGGCTTGCCGCCATTGTGCCCGCCATTGTACCGGAAATGCCGCACAAATGAGAACTGGAAATGGAAGGAAGTTGACAAGGCATGCAGCGTGGGAGCCACACGGGGCGCTGCTGGGAATCGAGCTGCTCGTGTACCCGTGGGGCAGCGCGCACAGTAACGTGCGAGGCGTCAACAATGTCACATGACAGGTCGTCGCAACACCAGGCCCGACAGCAGGACAGCCCGACAGTCCGACAGTTGGACAGTTGGACATTCGGCAGTGGCTCTCAACACCGGGTGAGAGTGAGTTGAGTCGAGTCGAGTCGAGTTGAGACGAGACGAGTCTGGAGACTCTGACTCTGGCAGCTCCATTGGGTCGCTTCTCTAATTAGCTGCAGTAATGGCATGTCAACAGTGCCAAGCGTGGCATCAGCTTGCACAGGACAACGCCAAGACAGCGGCAGACGGGTTGCAGCTTCTACGGCTGCTCCGGGTTGCTCCGATTCCTGCCTCTACTTCTACTTCTACTTCTACTCTCTCTCTCTCTATCTCTATCTTCTCCTCCTGCTTATCCATGTCCGCAGTGTAATTGGAGACAGGCGCCATGGCGCCAGCTTCCCCATCCCATCATCTAGACTATGATATGCGGCTCTTAACCCATTTTACTCAACAAAAACGCTTCACGAAATTAAACACAAACTATAAACAGTGGCGGAAAGCATTCTTAACAAAATATGTATTAAGTTCCAGGCATCTCAGTTGCTAGCTATTCTCTACTTAAGCATTGAAAGAAATTCTCAGAATCTCTTCTTTAAAATGCTTTAACATTTTTTTCGCATGCTTTTCTCTTTACATTTAGCTCTGCTCCTCCCATCACTCCCTCTCTCTCTCTCTCTCGCTGTATCTTTTTCTCATGCAAACAAACAAACTGGCTTTGCTGAAAAGTTTAATCTCAGATAGCGACTAAATGGCAGGAAATTTAAGCGACT